TGCACAGCTGGGGGGGTCGGAGGTTTGCACAGCTGGGGGCGGGCGGAGGTTCCCACCCCTGTTCTAGAACATCAGGCCGGTTCTGTTCCAGATGTTCTGTTTGCTTTAGGCCCATGTTGTGTGTGTCGTCTTTGTACATTGCGCTGTGTCCGTTCCTTTTGCAGACGAGGAGAAGGCCGCTGTGGATAACAATGTTTCACATTCTGGGGTCGGAGTTTTCTTTGAGGGTTACCTGTACCCGCCCTCCAGTCCACCCAATGTCTCCGGACAGCAGAGTCCCTCATTCAGCAGCCAGAAGGAGGATCGAACCACCTCTTGTAGCGGGAGCGCCATGGAGAGAATGAAGAAACCTAAAAAGGTGTATTTCTATATCTCCCCGAAGGTGAGTCCCACTGTGTCTAGGTGGAGGACCTCCGCCGTCCTGCCAACCGCCTGAATGTCTCTGTGTTCTGTTGCAGCAACTCTCCGTGAAAGAATTCTACCTGCGGATCATTCCATGGAGGCTCTTCACTTTCCGAGTGTGTCCCGGGACCAAGGTGAGCCGGGGATTTCCTGTGTCCTTCACCTCCATGTATCACACCTTCCTCCTCTGTCCTGTGTCCTTCACCTCCGTATATATCACACCTTCCTGGTATGGCCTCCTCTGTCCTTCACCTCCCATGTATCACACCTTCCTCGTATGGCGTCCTTCACCTCCGTATATCACACCTTCCTCGTATGGCGTCCTTCACCTCCGTATATCACACCTTCCTCGTATGGCGTCCTTCACCTCCGTATATCACACCTTCCTCGTATGGCCTCCTCTGTCCTTCACCTCCATGTATCACACCTTCCTCGTATGGCCTCCTCTGTCCTTCACCTCCCATGTATCACAGCTTCCTCTTATGGCGTCCTTCACCTCCGTATATCACACCTTCCTCGTATGGCCTCCTCTGTCCTTCACCTCCGTATATATCACACCTTCCTCGTATGGCCTCCTCTGTCCTTCACCTCCGTATATATCACACCTTCCTCGTATGGCCTCCTCTGTCCTTCACCTCCGTATATATCACACCTTCCTCGTATGGCCTCCTCTGTCCTTCACCTCCGTATATATCACACCTTCCTCGTATGGCCTCCTCTGTCCTTCACCTCCGTATATATCACACCTTCCTCGTATGGCCTCCTCTGTCCTTCACCTCCGTATATATCACACCTTCCTCGTATGGCCTCCTCTGTCCTTCACCTCCGTATATATCACACCTTCCTCGTATGGCCTCCTCTGTCCTTCACCTCCGTATATATCACACCTTCCTCGTATGGCCTCCTCTGTCCTTCACCTCCGTATATATCACACCTTCCTCGTATGGCCTCCTCTGTCCTTCACCTCCGTATATATCACACCTTCCTCGTATGGCCTCCTCTGTCCTTCACCTCCGTATATATCACACCTTCCTCGTATGGCCTCCTCTGTCCTTCACCTCCGTATATATCACACCTTCCTCGTATGGCCTCCTCTGTCCTTCACCTCCGTATATATCACACCTTCCTCGTATGGCCTCCTCTGTCCTTCACCTCCGTATATATCACACCTTCCTCGTATGGCCTCCTCTGTCCTTCACCTCCGTATATATCACACCTTCCTCGTATGGCCTCCTCTGTCCTTCACCTCCGTATATATCACACCTTCCTCGTATGGCCTCCTCTGTCCTTCACCTCCGTATATATCACACCTTCCTCGTATGGCCTCCTCTGTCCTTCACCTCCGTATATATCACACCTTCCTCGTATGGCCTCCTCTGTCCTTCACCTCCGTATATATCACACCTTCCTCGTATGGCCTCCTCTGTCCTTCACCTCCGTATATATCACACCTTCCTCGTATGGCCTCCTCTGTCCTTCACCTCCGTATATATCACACCTTCCTCGTATGGCCTCCTCTGTCCTTCACCTCCGTATATATCACACCTTCCTCGTATGGCCTCCTCTGTCCTTCACCTCCGTATATATCACACCTTCCTCGTATGGCCTCCTCTGTCCTTCACCTCCGTATATATCACACCTTCCTCGTATGGCCTCCTCTGTCCTTCACCTCCGTATATATCACACCTTCCTCGTATGGCCTCCTCTGTCCTTCACCTCCGTATATATCACACCTTCCTCGTATGGCCTCCTCTGTCCTTCACCTCCGTATATATCACACCTTCCTCGTATGGCCTCCTCTGTCCTTCACCTCCGTATATATCACACCTTCCTCGTATGGCCTCCTCTGTCCTTCACCTCCGTATATATCACACCTTCCTCGTATGGCCTCCTCTGTCCTTCACCTCCGTATATATCACACCTTCCTCGTATGGCCTCCTCTGTCCTTCACCTCCGTATATATCACACCTTCCTCGTATGGCCTCCTCTGTCCTTCACCTCCGTATATATCACACCTTCCTCGTATGGCCTCCTCTGTCCTTCACCTCCGTATATATCACACCTTCCTCGTATGGCCTCCTCTGTCCTTCACCTCCGTATATATCACACCTTCCTCGTATGGCCTCCTCTGTCCTTCACCTCCGTATATATCACACCTTCCTCGTATGGCCTCCTCTGTCCTTCACCTCCGTATATATCACACCTTCCTCGTATGGCCTCCTCTGTCCTTCACCTCCGTATATATCACACCTTCCTCGTATGGCCTCCTCTGTCCTTCACCTCCGTATATATCACACCTTCCTCGTATGGCCCACGTATGATGAGCCTTATTTCTTGGTGGCGGTATTTTTGTGTCTGCAGTTCCTTTACCTCCCCCCGGACCCTGTGCATGGTCTGCTTTCCTTACAAGTGGACGATGGCCTGCAGCCTCCAATAGAAGTCAGCTGTAAAGACCGCAATGTCATGGCCGCCACGTTCACTCGTTTCCTGCACTTGAATATCGGTGAGTGGGAATCCATCCAAGTCACCGCGGAGTGACGGAGTTCATCATCTTTGTGTGGAGGGTGCAGTGTAGAATGGGATATACCAGGTCTGGTGTTAGGTGGGGTATAGTGGGGGCAGGATGGGGTGTGGTGTTAGGTGGGGTATAGTGGGGGCAGGATGGGGTGTGGTGTTAGGTGGGGTATAGTGGGGGCAGGATGGGGTGTGGTGTTAGGTGGGGTATAGTGGGGGCAGGATGGGGTGTGGTGTTAGGTGGGGTATAGTGGGGGCAGGATGGGGTGTGGTGTTAGGTGGGGTATAGTGGGGGCAGGATGGGGTGTGGTGTTAGGTGGGGTATAGTGGGGGCAGGATGGGGTGTGGTGTTAGGTGGGGTATAGTGGGGGCAGGATGGGGTGTGGTGTTAGGTGGGGTATAGTGGGGGCAGGATGGGGTGTGGTGTTAGGTGGGGTATAGTGGGGGCAGGATGGGGTGTGGTGTTAGGTGGGGTATAGTGGGGGCAGGATGGGGTGTGGTGTTAGGTGGGGTATAGTGGGGGCAGGATGGGGTGTGGTGTTAGGTGGGGTATAGTGGGGGCAGGATGGGGTGTGGTGTTAGGTGGGGTATAGTGGGGGCAGGATGGGGTGTGGTGTTAGGTGGGGTATAGTGGGGGCAGGATGGGGTGTGGTGTTAGGTGGGGTATAGTGGGGGCAGGATGGGGTGTGGTGTTAGGTGGGGTATAGTGGGGGCAGGATGGGGTGTGGTGTTAGGTGGGGTATAGTGGGGGCAGGATGGGGTGTGGTGTTAGGTGGGGTATAGTGGGGGCAGGATGGGGTGTGGTGTTAGGTGGGGTATAGTGGGGGCAGGATGGGGTGTGGTGTTAGGTGGGGTATAGTGGGGGCAGGATGGGGTGTGGTGTTAGGTGGGGTATAGTGGGGGCAGGATGGGGTGTGGTGTTAGGTGGGGTATAGTGGGGGCAGGATGGGGTGTGGTGTTAGGTGGGGTATAGTGGGGGCAGGATGGGGTGTGGTGTTAGGTGGGGTATAGTGGGGGCAGGATGGGGTGTGGTGTTAGGTGGGGTATAGTGGGGGCAGGATGGGGTGTGGTGTTAGGTGGGGTATAGTGGGGGCAGGATGGGGTGTGGTGTTAGGTGGGGTATAGTGGGGGCAGGATGGGGTGTGGTGTTAGGTGGGGTATAGTGGGGGCAGGATGGGGTGTGGTGTTAGGTGGGGTATAGTGGGGGCAGGATGGGGTGTGGTGTTAGGTGGGGTATAGTGGGGGCAGGATGGGGTGTGGTGTTAGGTGGGGTATAGTGGGGGCAGGATGGGGTGTGGTGTTAGGTGGGGTATAGTGGGGGCAGGATGGGGTGTGGTGTTAGGTGGGGTATAGTGGGGGCAGGATGGGGTGTGGTGTTAGGTGGGGTATAGTGGGGGCAGGATGGGGTGTGGTGTTAGGTGGGGTATAGTGGGGGCAGGATGGGGTGTGGTGTTAGGTGGGGTATAGTGGGGGCAGGATGGGGTGTGGTGTTAGGTGGGGTATAGTGGGGGCAGGATGGGGTGTGGTGTTAGGTGGGGTATAGTGGGGGCAGGATGGGGTGTGGTGTTAGGTGGGGTATAGTGGGGGCAGGATGGGGTGTGGTGTTAGGTGGGGTATAGTGGGGGCAGGATGGGGTGTGGTGTTAGGTGGGGTATAGTGGGGGCAGGATGGGGTGTGGTGTTAGGTGGGGTATAGTGGGGGCAGGATGGGGTGTGGTGTTAGGTGGGGTATAGTGGGGGCAGGATGGGGTGTGGTGTTAGGTGGGGTATAGTGGGGGCAGGATGGGGTGTGGTGTTAGGTGGGGTATAGTGGGGGCAGGATGGGGTGTGGTGTTAGGAGGGGCAGTACGGGGTGTGGATATGGGTGGAGTCATCTCTTTGTGTTCTAGGCGGATCTGAGACGTTCCAGGACAAGGTCGCCTTCTTCCAGAAAGAACTGAAAAACATTCATTGCAAGAAAAGCCGCAGCAAGATCACGCTGAGAGTGAACAGACACTCGCTGCTAGAGAGTGTGAGTAGTGGTACTCCCATCACTGAGGGGTGGTCCTCATACCCACCTGTCTGTTGCTGCGTGGTGTCATCCCCACATCCCTTCCTGGGACAGGCGGAGGTCAGGGCAGCCAGCAGACGCTGAGCGTAATTCAGTGACAGGCGGAGGTCAGGGCAGGCAGCAGACGCTGGGCGTAATTCAGTGACAGGCGGAGGTCAGGGCAGGCAGCAGACGAGCGTAATTCAGTGACAGGCGGAGGTCAGGGCAGGCAGCAGACGATGAGCGTAATTCAGTGACAGGCGGAGGTCAGGGCAGGCAGCAGGCGATGAGCGTAATTCAGTGACAGGCGGAGGTCAGGGCAGGCAGCAGACGAGCGTAATTCAGTGACAGGCGGAGGTCAGGGCAGGCAGCAGACGATGAGCGTAATTCAGTGACAGGCGGAGGTCAGGGCAGGCAGCAGGCGATGAGCGTAATTCAGTGACAGGCGGAGGTCAGGGCAGGCAGCAGACGAGCGTAATTCAGTGACAGGCGGAGGTCAGGGCAGGCAGCAGACGATGAGCGTAATTCAGTGACAGGCGGAGGTCAGGGCAGGCAGCAGGCGATGAGCGTAATTCAGTGACAGGCGGAGGTCAGGGCAGGCAGCAGACGAGCGTAATTCAGTGACAGGCGGAGGTCAGGGCAGGCAGCAGACGATGAGCGTAATTCAGTGACAGGCGGAGGGCAGGCAGCAGGCGATGAGCGTAATTCAGTGACAGGCGGAGGTCAGGGCAGGCAGCAGACGATGAGCGTAATTCAGTGACAGGCGGAGGTCAGGGCAGGCAGCAGACGATGAGCGTAATTCAGTGACAGGCGGAGGGCAGGGCAGGCAGCAGACGATGAGCGTAATTCAGTGACAGGCGGAGGTCAGGGCAGGCAGCAGACGATGAGCGTAATTCAGTGACAGGCGGAGGTCAGGGCAGGCAGCAGACGATGAGCGTAATTCAGTGACAGGCGGAGGTCAGGGCAGGCAGCAGACGATGAGCGTAATTCAGTGACAGGCGGAGGTCAGGGCAGGCAGCAGACGATGAGCGTAATTCAGTGACAGGCGGAGGGCAGGGCAGGCAGCAGACGATGAGCGTAATTCAGTGACAGGCGGAGGTCAGGGCAGGCAGCAGACGATGAGCGTAATTCAGTGACAGGCGGAGGTCAGGGCAGGCAGCAGACGATGAGCGTAATTCAGTGACAGGCGGAGGTCAGGGCAGGCAGCAGACGATGAGCGTAATTCAGTGACAGGCGGAGGTCAGGGCAGGCAGCAGACGATGAGCGTAATTCAGTGACAGGCGGAGGTCAGGGCAGGCAGCAGACGATGAGCGTAATTCAGTGACAGGCGGAGGTCAGGGCAGGCAGCAGACGATGAGCGTAATTCAGTGACAGGCGGAGGTCAGGGCAGGCAGCAGACGATGAGCGTAATTCAGTGACAGGCGGAGGTCAGGGCAGGCAGCAGACGATGAGCGTAATTCAGTGACAGGCGGAGGTCAGGGCAGGCAGCAGACGATGAGCGTAATTCAGTGACAGGCGGAGGTCAGGGCAGGCAGCAGCATAATGCAGGAACAGACTATCGTCAGGGCAGGTTCACATTGTTATGTATGGAGCCCCTGTAGACTGACCAGCAAACTCGGGGCCCAGGGCTGGTGACATTCAAATAAGGCGCACTGTGCCGCCGGCCAATGGGAGTGGAGGAGGCTAGAGAGATGGAAGTGACCTGCTGCCTAGCAATAGAGATGCATCCCAAGGGATGTTCCACCGCTGGCCAATGGGAGTAGAGGAGGTTTGCTGCAAGAGCAGGGCTGGTTACCTGGCAACAGATGAGCAACAGAGAGGGGGCCGGCAGAGGGTCGGAGTCAGAGGCGTGGGTCAGAGGGTTAGGGGCGGGGCCTGTAGAGGGTCG